GCCTATCAGAGGAAAGTGGGCCCATGTCACGAGGTGAACACCCACCTAAGAAACGGCAGGAAAATAAATCCAAGACCTATTGAGCCCTCAACAAATATTACAGAATTCCTCGAAGAATCGGTGCCTTCATTGCTCGCCCTGAATGAGGCGCCAAGCCACGACTGTACGGGAATCAATTGGCTTGAGTTTCTAGGACAAAGACGACGGCGACCCGCATTTTCAAACACTCCTTTTCCGCTGCCACTCCCTACACCTAACGATACCATAGCGTAAATCCTCAGTGCAAAAATCTCCCGGCCTCGTACCCCCGACAGGGAAATGGGCCATGGCGATCGTCGTTGATTCTGATCCTTACCCCGACGAAACACTGGACCTCTCGAAGCCAACACAAGTTCGTGACTATGCCTTTCTTAGAGTTACCCATGTTAAAGGTAACTTCTTGGCAGTGGCGTCACTAGGGTGAGCGGCACCCGGGCCGGCACCCCGCAGCGACACCCTCCGCCCCCGCCACCCTCTCATGGTCCGCCGCGACACCACTCTGAGAGGTGCGCCAAGAGTGGTCCGCCCCCCCCCCCCCCCCCCCTTGGGACGCCACTGCTCGTTGCTATTACAATAATTGCATATTAAACGTCCGTAGTATCATACATTCCCGTATATTCGTGAGTGTGTATATGAGCAAAATAGTTTTGTAGGTTATTTCTTTCAACACTACTAAACCCGCAAGGTATCCTGGAGTAAGGACAGCCGGAAGCCAGCTCAGTGATTCACCTTTAGGTTGGTGCTGATTACATCGTCGAATATCGCTTCACTTAGATTTACGAGTGGTGTTATATGATGCAGAATCCCAGCACTGTTGACCACAATACTGATGTTCGTTTCGTGTGTAGTTTCGATGCATTCGACGAGATCTTTAACTGAAGTCGAATTTCGAACATCCACGTACATGGCCGTGTGGTTAAGGTGTTTGTCTGCAAGTAAAGTAAGTTTACTGAGCAATTAGACCAATTGATTATTAATTTGTAGAAATATAAAGGGTGTTTAAAAAGAATTCAAACAGGTTTACTAATGCTTTAAAGGTATATTAATGCGGCCTGTGCAGGGCAGTTATACGACCAAGGCTCCATAATATAGCTGGCTAATCGTTAGAATACGTCGGCTAATAAACCATTGCCACGCGCGTCACTGTGCGAGCGTGTACGTGGGGAAACGGCTACCGTGCTTGGCTTTCGTGAGAAGCGGACGCTTCTCATGAAAACAATATGAGAAGCGGACGCTTCTCATATATTTTTCTTCACTTTAACGTTCTCGTGATTGTTTGATCAAATTACGAATCTTCTGCGCGGTGAACGTTCTACGCCGAATGATCCAGAATCCTACGAGGGTACAAGAGATGCTCCGCGTGGCTGTCCGATGTCAGTCTATGCCCAACACCACCACGTAAACTCCTCCTAGATAACAAAGGCGGAGTGCTGAGTGAGATGGCGTAATCAGAGAAGGCCGATACTGGACAGAGATTGGAAATGATTACTGTGTCAGCGCACGGCTTCGAGTTTAGTTTGAGCCAAAGGTTGACGCAATCGCGCCGTGTCCATCCTGTGTTCAGCGTTGACCTTTCCTTGACGCCATCTTATTCAGTAGTACAGATTTGTTAACTTGGAGGTGTTGGTAAAGTCAACAAATCCTTGATGAAAAAAAGCCGTCGTGCTGACAGAGACGATAGCGTCAACGTTCGGTTTAAACTGGACTCAAACCCGAGCGCTTACGCGGCACTCGTTTCCAATCTGCGTCCAGCGTTGGCCTTCAATGGTGACGCAAAAACGTCGGCCGTAGACGGCCTTATTTCTACGCGGTGTTGCCTACGCACCGAGAAACTGTGGGAGAGATGTGGAGATCGCATGATGGACATCCGAATGCCGAGCTTTGATTCGAATTATTAATAGGTGTACCTGAAGCTATCCGCTTTTGTCTTCACTACACTAGTCGAATGCGTTCGAATGCGAAGGCAAAACGCTGACGCCTGCCTTTCAAGTCCTTTTTTTTTTAACATACCCTTTATGCCGTTGAACGCTGAGTAGTATTAAGCGAAAGTAAGAAAAATTGCTTCAAGGCTATTTTAATATAAGCATGATGTTTTTTTGTTTTTTTTTTCAAATATACACAGTGTAGGTACGTGTGGTACTGGAGGCAAGGGCAGCTAGATTTAGGTTTATTCACCAATCATTCGAATCAGTGGTCGACCTTCTGACATCCCCGCGCTCTCTCGTCTCCTCCTCGCGCTCACTTTTTCGGAGCATTGCCAGCACTCGACTCTGCTTGCACGTCGACATTCGACGCATGCAACGCTTATTCTTCTCTTTTGTTTTTTGGCACAAATTCGCCACATTAAACTTGTAGTTCCTTTGGTTATTGCCTGTTTATTTGCCGGTCATCCATGACACTTTAATATATTATTTAACTTCCGAATTAGTGAAAAAAAACATAAGGCTCAAATTAGAAGCTTGCTAAGCGTCAATGAAAACCGCTAATTCATTACATTTAAGAACATTTTAAAGCACGTGAGAAGTGCTTGTGCCTATCACTCGTGCAACGGGCACAAAGCTAGCAGCGTTAAAACGTGGATGATGATCTTGTCGTCCGGGTTCTCGCACCGCTAACCTTGTGCCTGTTATTCTAGTGGGTGTTCTGGCGGACACCAGCACTTCCCATGTGCCCGAAATTTTTTCAAAGTTCATTTATTTCGGAGTTTGGGTGGCGCTCGAGAAATTTATAATTAAGAGCCTATGTTTTCGTTCAATATTTCAAAAGTTAATTAACAAAATTTGCTTAGTTGTCTGACGTGGTGTGATGACTTTTATGACCTACTGTCCGTATAGCTTACCTACATAGATCGTATTAGTGAACCTTTATCAGATTGTTTAAAAATAAATATTTTGGAAATAGAAATTAAACACCCTGTATATTTCAAGCTTTATACCGCAATTATTAAATACTACTTCCTTAAAATTTGCGAAAAGTTAATTAGAACACATGAGGCTTATTTTTTTTAACATACCCTTCATGCCGTAGAACGCTGAGTAGTATTAAGCGAAAGTAAGAAAAATTGCTTCAAGGCTATCTAAGAATGATTTTTTTTTTCAAATATACACAATGTAGGTACGCAATCCAGCTACTCCTCTACCTAATAGTCACACCGTTTTAGGCAGTGATTACGACATAGCATAGGTTTTGGATACCCTTGCTTTCCTGCCAGGGTTTTAGCCAGGGTTCCCAGTACATACGAGCCCTTCCGATGAAAGGAATAAGAAAAAAAGAACTAATAAAAGCAACGGGATATTTTTTTATATATACGCAAAATATTTATAAATGCTCTAGCTATATCTTAGCACACGTATGTAGAGAGTTATCATGACGTGGCACAAGCTTTTGCATCCTCCCCCGAAAAGAAAGTGGCCGCCTGTGTTCTCATTCATTCCGTCACGAGTTCAATAAAGCCTCCAGTCGCCACAGCCGTTCTTTCCTAACCCCTATCACGAAGCACGTCTCTCCGCCCTATACGAAGCATCATGCCGTTTCCTCTGTGCACATACAAGTTTGTGGCTGGTGATGGTCTCGCTGACGCATAGTGAGACTGAGAACACCGACTGCAACCCCTTTTAAGGAAGGAATCCAAAAACCTGCGCAACGTTATAGTAACTCTACTAGTTAGCGGTAAGAAAAGAAGAAAATTTAGGCTTTACTGCATTGATTATATTGTGATAAAGCCTGTAACGTGAGAGTGAGCGTCAAATGCCCGTATGTATTTCGATGTAATAAAGATGGTCAGACTAGGCATGTCGCCGCTTCTTTTCAGCTGTGTACTCCTGATTCAGCTCTTCCCTCTTGCAAAGCATTCTGAACAGTGCGGAATATCCAGTGAACACCTCACCTACAGACCCTCGAATGCTCGCGATAAGAGTAGAAGGTTGTAACATAATAATTGTCGCTTCACAAGTCTCCCCGTTGGCCTATTGGGTGAGTGTCGTGCTCAAAATCCTGAATCCAGGAGTCAATCCTTTTTGAGGGATGTTTGGGATTTTTTTTTATCTCAATGCATCCACTTATTGCCATAACCCGCATACGCGTTCGCTACGTGTATTTGATTGAATTTTTGTAAGGACGGTCGAGGAGAAAAGAAATGCTATCGCATAAAAGAAGAGAATCCGCAAAGACGTGAACAAATAATAATATGTTCATTGTTTTGCAAGACACAGGGAAGGACGAGGTTAGCATGAATAAAACGTTGTTAATGACCGCATGTACACGACGAACGTAAGACGCAGCTGACGGATGTGCACACCATTCCACGTGTGGATAGGCAATGTAATGGCTAAATGGTCGGATGTGACTGAACCGTTTGAATCGGGCGGTGTCTTCCGTCGCCTATAGCTCTATACTTCGTTCCACTTTGCGTCCGATCGCAGCGGCGGCTACGAGTCATCCCAGCCAACCCAGTTCAGTGGACTTAGCACATGACTACGCTTTCCATGCGTCACATCGCTTTCTCTAGAAGCTAAAGTAAACTAGCGCGACCTTAGATTGGCTTCGATGGCTCATAAGAGCCAATGAGGCAGGACGAAATATGAAAAGGGGGTATTACACCTCGCTCGACGCCGCGAGGAACGACGGATTCTGGAGAGAGGTCGGTTTACTTATCGATGTTACTACTATTTTTACAATAATTTGCCATGTTATGGACGTAACAACCAATAATAACTTTACTGTTCACAGATCTGGCTGCGGGTGGCGCAAGATTCTACACATTCAAAGTCACGATGCGCGTACGTTCTGGAAACATAACTTGTTAGTGTTTTCTTCTGAAAGCAGCTGCTTGATTATGATCCATCCCAAGTCAGTGAGGACTATTTCGTCATATGAACGGCGCAAAAAAACAAACGTTTTCGTGAGCGGCACTGATATTCGACAAATAAAATTATTTGAAAACTCTAATACTAAAAAATTGGGAAGTCGAAGAAATATATTCTGTCAATCCCTATGTCATTCAAATTTTAATCTCGTATATTCTTACACCCCTAGTCTTTATCTGTGTGGTGTTTGCATAAAGAACTAGATAACATATACACAGTATTTTCCGGGCAACAGTCCGCGAAATCCCATTTATGCCTAAAAAGATATTTTTTGCTTAGATTGTCTACACCCAGTTCAAATAGTCCGCACGCCGTGCGGACTATATGCACTCCATACCTTGAACAATGTCTGCATTCCAAGCTGACGAAGAAGGTTGTATTATACATAAATCATGATTAACAGATTTCATTCGCAAAATCAGTTACGTCTCGTCATAACGAGCCATACTATTTGAACCTAAAAAAAAATGTAGAGTCTGCGGACTACCCTACTGAAAAAAACCATTTGGCGCCCATATGAAAATAAACGGGTCCATACCGGTAACCGTTTAACCATACTGGTCACCAGTTTGTCAAAGGGGTCGCCCGTATGGCTCAAAGGGGTCCCCCGTATGAGCCATAACGGTCACCTATTTGGCAAACGGGTCGCTCGTCTGGGCAAATGGGCGACTCGTTTGGGCAAAGTTGTCGCACGTTTGCTCAAACCGGCGACCATGTTGCAAACTGCACCGGTTTAATCAAACGGCTCTCCGGAGCCCGTTTGATATTGAACGTACAGATCGGCGGCGTGGGCACGCCTAGCGTTTCAACCGTGGCAGCCAATGTTTTCCGGAAGGCTGGGAGCGCCGGTTCATCGATTTCAGATCGTCCGCGTAATGCAAGTAATTATATTTATATTTCAATTGCGCTGATTTTCGATTATACTGCAACGAAAACTAACACCTTTTTTTTTTTGTTTTACGTAAACGCGCGACGTTGGTGAGCCGATATTTTTGACAGAACCTTAAAACTTTGTCCATCTTTGTTGCCTCAATTTACTTATTCAGCTCGAATCTCTCTCGCAGAAGACGCGACCGCGTGAAAGAATGTACGTCTAGACTCCGTTTCACTTTAATTCAAGACGCAGCGAAGGTAGCACGCGTACACACGGCTGCAAGAACATCGAGCATTGCGAGAGCACGCCCGCCGTTGCAGCACTCAAACTACGAGCTTGCGCTGAGTTCTTTCTTCGCTCGGGCGCAAGCCGAGCTTCTGGCAGCCCCGCCGCCATTTCCAAAGTTCAAGCGCGCGCGCGCGCGCGCGCGCGTTTGTTCTTTGGGACTACAAAAACGCATCTCCCTGGAATGCCTGGGGAGAAGGAGAGGGGCTGTCCCGGTGGTCCCAGCGCCTTGACCTCGCCCCCTCCCTCCTCTCTTGTCACCCCTGTCACGTGACCCACAGCAGCGCGCGAGCTACACGCTGATAAGCATCGAGATCCGGAAGGGCGCGCCTTGCAGCCGCTTTTTTCTTTGTCTGCTTGTTGTCAGTTGCTGCTCGAAGTTCGCTCGTCCTACCTGCTTCAATCTGTCGCCTAACCCTGCGGTCTTATTGGGATGCCTCTCGACAACGTATTGGATGTGCACCAAAGCTATCAGTGTTCGAAAAGACCCACGTGTATGTCGGCAACGAGCGATTCTTCAAAGAAGTCGCAAATTCTCGCGGTTTGGTTGGGTTCGGAAAATGACAGCTTGTGCGCCGCATCGTGTTGAAACTTCCAAGGAGCCGTTCCCTCTTGTTTGTGTTTGTGTGGTTGTCCTGCTTTGACCGTGTCGACAAATATCACGGATTACCTCTTTCAAGTCCGCTATTGTTATGGTAAGTGCACTGCAACCTACGTGTGGGCAACGATTGACCGTTATTCTACGCGTACTCTTCTAAATTATCTAAAGAATCATGCAGCGCCTATTCGCGCGGCAGCCAGGAGAATAATTTCCCCGAAAGTCTACCTGTATAGTGTTCACAGATCGCTTGCACGTTTGTACTTGTCTACAGAAGAGGTAATAAACTTCGAGGAGAATTGAAAACAATCTTTTGTGTCGGTTTTCCTGTCCACTTACAAGCACCTACGCGAGTGCATTTGTTCTACGTGTTTTCTCCATGTTATAAATACGTTTATGAGTTTCGGGACGTCTTAAATATGTTTAAGATAACCAACCTCCCAGACGATACCCATTTAGGGCTAGCGCATAATTTGCCATTTCGAAGGGCACGTTCAAACGTGTGGTCACGTGCCATGTCGAACGGGTACTCGTACCATACGGCACCCGTATCAAACGGGCACCTGTATCAAACGGGTACCGTTTCGAACGGGTACCGTTTCCAAACGGGTACCCGTATCCCATAATCACGTTTGATCCAAACGGATCGACAGGTTTGATTCAAACGGGCGACCAGTTTGCCACCCGTTTGAATTTCAAATGGTTTTTTTCAGTAGGGTATAACCCCAAAAAATACGGTAACAACATTATGTTTACATAAAAAGAAATCTTTTACCCATTAGTTTTTCCTAGCTCATTTCATCGGAGCGTGAAAAAAGAAATACAGCCCTCGTATTAGTTTCAGTACTTGCATCATGCGTCATTGGTCCTCATATCCCAATTCTCCTACTCGGATATTCGAAAGTAACCTTGTGTTCTGCAGTGAGACGGGAACTAGGTTTGCTCATATATATCAAACGCTTGAGGTTGCGAAGAAACGAACCGCTGGATGTGATCTGCTGCTTTAGATACCTTATGATTCTGGTGTGAAAAAACAAACTACAAAAAAACGTTCCACACCCAAAATTCGCGTATGCAGTTAATACGGTCATACGTACTTGGAAGCATATCGACGGTTTGGTCTCCTCCGGTTTTGTTGATATCAGCAACGATTACGGTGACATTTTCCCGAGCGAGTACCATAGCAACACTCCGCCCGATGCCACTGGCCGCACCAGTTACAAGTGCCAGTCGGCCGCCCAATTCGAGTGAAGATGTTCCAGCATCGTTATTTGGCTTTCCGACATCCACGTCGCCGGCGCGACTATGAATATCACCGTTTGAGATACTTCCGGTAACTAAGCAGCCCAAGACAAGGAAGCAGGCAAGCTTGTGATTGTTTAACATGCTGCTATTGGGAAAGAAACGTGGACAAGTCTCAGGGAGTCGTTGCCGCCACGTTATATATAGCGATGTTTTTGTTTAGTTATTTTATTTCTCATTCGCACATGTGCGCAAAAGAAAACTAAAGAAACATAAATTCTCATCCAATATCCGATTTTTTGCAAATGCCAATAGAGGCTTTGCGCGACTACTGTTTTTGCGGAAAATATACGAAATCTTGGTTTCACGGAGCAGCTGCAAGGCCTTAAGCCCGGTTCAGACAGTTGCGTTTGACTGCGTTCGAGTGCGTTGCGGCAGCGAGAAACCAGGACATCCCTGCTGCTTATATCGCGTGCCAAAAAGATTCCTTGAATTGGACTCCACGCTTCATACGAAGCACAAATGCGCCGGTGACTCGCTTTCGGTACTCGACGCAACGCAGTCAAACGCACTCAAACGCAAGTGTCTGAACCGGCCTTTAGATGTACACACACAATAAAAACAAATGACGATGTTGCATTTCCCTTGCGGCAAGCCTCCTCAGCAATTAACATGACGCAAACACGTTGATTCATCACGTAGTCAAATGTAGTAAGGTGGAAGGCTGAACGAGTTGGTAAACGTTGAATATGATGAAAAATTGTGCACGAAGAGACGAGTACGAAGGAGAAAGGAACACAGAACAAACAAGCAATGTGGTCATTAGTTGTTTTATACGACAGGAGTTTAGTCCGCCAGGACATGACCACATTGTTGCCCACTGTAGATGAGTGCAGTACGGCTGCTAACCTGGGGTCTTTAACGTGCACGACGCAGTAGGGATACGCAACCGCACGCCGGTACTATGCTCATTCAGTTCGAGACCGGCAGGGCTGAGGATTCATCCCGGGTTCCCTGGGTTCTGCAGCGCTAGCTTTTGCACCACGTGCTCCGAGCTGGTGTGCTCTTCCCTACTCTACCACCGATCCCTCTGAACAGAACTTAAACAGGCGGGTACTCATAAGTCGGATATAATATGGGAAGAAAAGAGAGATGAAGGACTCATAACAGGGAACACCGGCACCGGTGGGAAGACAGTTCAGTCGCAAGGAACGTTACTGGAGTGGGTCGCTTTGTGAACTCGAGCGCCATTTACCGGAGGAGCGCGGGCGGCTGCGGTAGCTGGCGAAACGGTGGCGCTGCCGTCGCCGTGAGATTAAAACCTCTTGATCAAAGCATCTTTTATTTTTTTTTTTTTTCATGTAGCGCCGACTATTGTTGTGAGAATGCGCGAGACCCGTGCCACGAGTGGGTACTCCGCCGCCTTTCGCTTCCATAGGCCGCTCATATCAGTGGTACGCCACAATTTGCATCGAAGGGCCGCTCGAGACCAGAGATGGCAGTAATGACAATACTGTAATGAAATTACAGTAATTAATTTTTTTTGAGTAATGAGTAAGCAATAAATTACTTCTCCTGGCTAGTAATTTAGTAGTGTAATGAGTTACTTTCAGGCAGTAATTTCGAGAAAATTACTCATCACTTTTGAAATTACTTTTGTCCTAAATTAGAAAATTCGTTTGCAACCTTTAAGAGAGACGAAAAACATTATTTTGCATCGCAAAACGTTGTTAAATTGCATCAGAGGAAATATTCGACGGCCACCTGAGCGCAAAGCCTTGTACGAAGAGCTGAAAGGACACACAAAGGAGGGCTGGAAAGGCGGCGGAGAGCACGGCGTCGCGTCATCACGACGACACTATACTTCGTTCCTCTCTAAGTTGACGGTGCTGTGGTAGCTGCAAAATAACCAGAACCAATCAAACACCTTCTTTTAATCACGTGTCCCGTCCCTTTCTCTGTGCGTGGGTATGAACGAGAGTGTGGTTACGTGACGAACGATGGACGTGTGACTGCTCCAAAAAAACACGTAGTTTCCACTGTTCATCCCTATGCTGATGGTGAGTCAGCTTAGGGATGAATGGCTCCTAGGGTACAAGGTGACGGGCACATCACTGAGTTAGATATAATTTAAAACCTGAGAGGACAAGGCAAACAGATCCCCAGTCTTGTACTTTCGTCAAGCAAGGTCAAACCGTAAGCTTCGAGCATTGTGAACAACAAACGACCGGAATGAATAGTTAATTTCAAATCACTTCTCAAAGCCCCAGGCCGTTTCGTGCGTCCTCAAGCAAAGCAGGTGCCGCTCGCGGTATTTCTCGCTGCCTTCCCTTGGAAAGTTTATTCGGGAATAAGCCTACAAGCAGATATCGCCACCGGTTGTTGGGAAAGTACACAATTTAAGAAGCTCGCGCCATTCATCAAATGGCGACACTTCTGCTTAGCAATTATCCGGGCCCTTTGAGTGACAATGCGCAAAAAACTTGGACTCTTCGGTTGTTTCGGAAAAATACTCCTTTAAAGAAATTACCGAGAATAGGTCAACTATACTCGGAGACAGCTATTCTTGGCAATGCAGTGGAGGGTACAGGCACGCGTTCCCTCTCCCATTTTGAGCTCTGAATAAAGCGGTTCACGTGCTCCCCTCCTCTCCACTGCATTGCCAAGCAAAGTTATCACCGAGTATATAGTGCTCTAGGAAGAACAGAATTCGACTACGTCCGAGGCAGAAGCGAGACGTTTCACGTGACGACTCCTTGTAAGAACGAGCTGCCATTGCCCGACTTAACGAGCTGACATGGACTACAATTTCTAAATCAGAAAGACGGAAAAATATCACCCTTTTAGTAAAAAACTTCACCGTTGAATAAACAGCGAAACCGGTGAGTCGACTGTCTTTCTGAGTCACATCTAAAGAAGCTATTCATCATGTTTAACACTTACGTCGTGTGCGCAAGCAAAACCACTGTTCGGTATCGTTCACTTTGAGGCACATAAGGTTATTGCGGAGTAAACAGGAAGATGTGAGTTTTGGTAAATATATACCAGCTCAGCTCTTTGACGTGACATCAGAGCGGTGGTACTGCTGTCGGTACTGCACATGCGCAACGCCTCGCTTCTGCCGGATCTGGTTTCTGGACACTCGCTGTGTGGGCAAACAAGGGATTGTTTTGTAAACACTGTGTTGGTGTATACGGCAAAAAAAAAATGAGCACGATTCACTGCCTCAAAGTATTCAAAGGTAATGTCAAAGTAATTTCAAAGTAATTTCATTACTTTTGGGAAGTAATTGTAATGTAATATCATTATTTTTAGTCTAAGGTATTTTTAATGTAATTTAATTACATTTTTGCAGTGTTCAGAAAAGTAGTTCGTAATGTAATTTAATTGCTTTTTGAAAGTAATTTTGCCATCTCTGCTCAAGGCACCGGCCTCGTGCACTGGCGCATTTGACGCTACTTGCGAGAAAAAAACGCAAACATATCCTTTGGTGGATCTCTCCCCGCGCAGCGTGGAGGGATCCACGCTGCGTGGAACACTCATGAGCACCAAACGTATGTGCTCCTGTGTGCTCGGGAGATGCCATCGTCGTCTGATTCGGGTTCATCTCTGATTGTCACATCATGGGTGGTGACAGAACTGGCTGCAGCCAGAGCAACGGTTCGATCAGTGGGGTCCTTTGGTTTGGCGCTCTTCGTCGTTGGTTGCAAGATATGTGCGTGCACATTAGGGAACAGACATGGTACAGCAACGTTTTAATGCCCATTTGCGTGTGGTTATCAAAACCTTATTCTTTTTTAGCTAGGAAATAAATTGACACATCATTCTGTATAAGTCAGTTAGCCTGGCAACATTTGCGCCATCGAAATGCCTAAGGTTTTTGACGTTTCGATTCTGCTGCAGCTCACTTTCCTGGTTCCGTCATGGATTACGCCAAACGGCGACGGGAACACTATCATCGGCTGCAAGATTACATCATCTGCTTCCGTGGAACCTGCTGGAAAAACGTACTCGTCATCAGAAGCCTACCTTTTGAAGGTTGTGCCAAAAAAACGTATCCACTGCGACACCTTTTTTCACGGTGCCGTTACAAATCGGCCTATCTACTTCTACCATCATTGCGACCTCAGGGAAACCGAGAAGTAGGGCGCCTGCTTCCGTCAAGTTTGTCAGTGGGCCTGGCAGCATCTGCGCCATCAAGATGCCTAAGTTTTTCGTCATCTCGTTTCAGGTTGGTAAATTTTAATATCTTCAATTCAAAGGCGTGTGTAGCTTTGTGCTGCCGAGCTCCAAAGCATGCCTTGAGTTGTATCTCGAATGTACAGACGTGTACAAGATTGCCTGTGCATCCATTTCTACATATGTCGATAGTGTTAGATTCAGGGTGGTGCTCTTACCCCTCGGTGAAAATATTGAGTATAACCCTGGGCCAATGTCCAAAGAGCAAGACGCTCTACTAAATAAAGTTCTCGATATTGTAACAACACTTCAGGCAGGCCGAAATAACATCCTTCAGCAAGTGAGAGACCTAAAAATAGAACAAAGCGGCACCGAAAAATCACTAGATGCGCTCACAATACGGGTCAACCAGTTAGAAAACGACCATTCCGCTACAAAATCAACCGGGGTAAACAGCAGCGTCAGTTCTGCTCACCTGATAGAGTCTACCGCTTCCAACATATTTCAGCTCAGAACACGCTGTGATGACGCTGAGAGCCGAGCGCGTTGGGCTAACCTTCTTTCCTTTAGCTTCCGCGATACTGAGAGGGAGCCTTGGTTGCAATCCGAAAAGACTGTGCTTGATGTATGACTCGAAAGATTAGGTTTACAACTTCCCGCGTCATGTAGCAAATAACTCATCGCCATGGCTTATAAATGGTTATAAATTCATGGACACCAACCTTTCGGTAAGTGAGGATTTTATACCCTCGGTGCGTTTCGCTCGGCATAAACTGCTCCAGTTTGCGAGGACATGGGGACGTCCTTTTAACCTGCGGTTCGACAAATTACTCACTGGGAACAAATGCTATGTCTATGTACCTGCCTCTGACTCAGTTATTAAATCGAACTCCTGGGAGCCAGAGCACACTTCATTCGAACATAATACCGGAGCTTTGAACTCTCTTTAAACTTCATTACCGCGG